TTGCATGCATGTACAAGTTGGGGTCGATATGGAATCCTATTTAGGGCATTTTCGGCTGTTTTTCTGCTGCTTTTCTCCGCTAATCAGATACCTAGCCCTTTTTCGTTCCTATGTGGGTTCCGTTACCCACAATCTGTGGTCGCGTCGTGGCCTTGCCTTTAACGAATATTGGTCGAAGTTGACCTCGAGGTCACTCAGTTTTGAGAATTTCCAGCGAACTCTTCCAGACCACTCGAGCGTAATCATCAGGACCTCAAGTCTACATAAAAGGAAGAAGAGAAATCCTCGCCGTTGTTCAATCCTTTTTTGGGACGCGGTTTCGTTTCAACTCGGAGTCGTAGTGATTTATTGAATGCGATATGGCCCATAAAATGACATGTGAGGATCAGCCGATGTAGAAGTCAGTGTTCTTATCCTCCCGGACGAATCTAGTCCCACTTTTTCGTTCCATTGAAGGTTCGACCTGGGCGATAGTTGATTTAGGATTCGATCCTAGGACGGCGGGTGTGCTAAACGTACCACCTGCCACTTCACCACCTTCGCCTCAAGTTTACGTACTATTCATCAAATTGGCTGCTCGACTATCAGCATTATCACGAGCTACTCATCACATCTGTGTGCGAGTTCCGGGTAGATTATTCGTACCTGGTGGACTGGCTAGAATTTCACTCGTCAACCCTGCAAGTTGTGGGGAAGTTTGCCGTCACTGACATACTTTTGCATTGAATTCAGCACTTCACAAGGTTGATTGAAAGGCATATAGCGCACACACAGGTCAGCAGTAGAGCAGACTGACCCGTCAGTGCAAACTCGGAGGCCTTCTGAGGGCTACTCGTTTCTTCCGCATCTTTACAGCATTGATTGAGCCGTGTGTAATTGGCGCCGTCAGTTGCTCACATTGTTCCTCATCATCAACACACACTTCTAGTCCGACTTGTGGCACATGGCGCCAGCAACGACCGCTGTCGAGTGACGTGTTCCGACGCTGGAGATGCTCATCCCAGCAACGAACCTGCTGTTGCTGCTGCTGCTCAATTTAATCCCATTGCCACTCTGCCAAGTGCTCGAAAAATCCCGATCGGTATGGGTTGAACAGGGGCTGGTTCGAGGGAAAATCTACAACATTGATGGGCGACATATACAAATATTCCGTGGGATTCCTTACGCTGAACCTCCGCTGGGAAATCTTCGATTCGCAGTGAGTCTATTTACCTATAGATTCATTATTATTGATCAGTTGTTACATACTTTCTTTCGTAGTGAGTTTGTTTGCTTATCGATTCAGTTATGTATTGATTAGTTACATGCTTTTTGAGTTGATTGGTCTTCTTGAAGGGTATTAGTTGTGAAGAGTAAGAACGACTTTGTCGTGCTATTTTCACCGCGCAAACTAAAAAATCAACTGCAATCAGCCATACTACGTTAAATCCCTTCCTCAATTTTTGAATGGACAACACTTGATGATCTGTTTGCATTTCATCACTATGATGCAATGCATGAAATCGTTGGCAGTATTTTTCCATTATTGCTCCAGATGTCAAGGCTTGGGTCAGAACGTTGATTTGAAAACTGGTTAGAAATTATCCCGAAGGTTGTTGGACCCCCTAAACAAGAAATCATCCGTATAAATGTAGCACGGAAGTGTCTGGTACCCGTGCCAGAGGTGCGGTTCCAAATTACCTCAATTCACAAAATTCGTTGAACGTCTGATAAACACTTTGACTTTCTGAACATGGAAAACCGCGTTTCCTTGCCACGAAATTGTTGCTCAGCATCTTTTTTTTGATAAAACTCAGCTCTAGTAGAGGAAAGCATCACTTTGAACAAAGCGCACAGATGATCAGAAAGCTACGTGGCAGCAGGTCTCTCCCATCCCTCCCTTGACTCCCTTCGCAACAAAGTGAATGCCATATTCATGGTTACCAGCGTAACCTAACCCTGCGCGGCATGTTTTGCGCATATGGTTATTGTGATGCGTAAAGTTACAAAATTTATTCTGAAGTGATATCTCAACAACGAAACTTCTTTATTGACTCGTTGACAGTCTCGGTAAAATGGAAAGCATGATCCTTCACGAACGAATCCTCGTCTTGGAAGCCTACGCGATTGAATTCTCCAGTCAGGCCGTCCTCACTTGCTAAAAGGCGTTGCAACAGGGCACAACATCGGGTTGTACGTACCCCTGGCTCCCTCGCATCGAGCTGTCGAGGGGAGGGGTGGGTGGAACACCACCATGAAACAGGCAAAATCAGGAAAAGAGTCAGGCAACCTTGTTCAGAAGGTCAGAAGGGAAATACGACCGCCCTCCCAACAAATACGACTCCTTCTTTAGAACGTCAGGAGACAAGAAAAAAACTTATGCAAAAAAGTTCCTCTGAGCGCAACTACGACCCTCCTCTCCCAGCGACCGGATACGCCCTTCCCTCGTTGTGGAATTCTCAGCAACGATGTGGCCTGGTCCAATAAGCCTGCAGTTTCAAGCATACAGGATGCTCGATGCGCGCGAGACCAATTATTCACTTTGCTCCAGTGCGAGCCTTAGAGTTTTCTGCTGCCCAGGAAATTCACAAGATCATGCAGAGTGCGTGTTGAAGGTCTCCACCACAGCCGGAATACGGACTCGCCCTTTTGGCCATTCTGAGCCAAAGGTCGGTTCTCATTCTTATCGGTTACGCTGGCAGGGCTTCTCCATACTTTCATCTAATGGGGAGCTCAACGGCCTTCGTGTGTTACAACCTTACAGCACTCACATGTCCAACGTGACTGTTTGAAACTGGTCTTTTATCTGGTCTCTCGTCAGAAGGCGATCGTGGCCTGGCTTAAAGATGTCGCTCCGTGTGCGCGTGTTTTGACTTTAAAGCCGTTCGGCTTCTCCGAAAGTAAACTTCCTGTTTCAGATAACTTATGAAAAAATCGGTACGTCTGGACCGGCTTTTGCTGGTATCGACTACCCCAGAGTCAGTTAGGATACAGCGATTAGTAATTCTTCTTTTTTTTGAAGACGACTTCGCTCAAAGCCCGTCGGGCTCCTTTCCATTTCGAAGTACATAATCCTGCGAGGAGTAGCTTTCTAAGCAACTAAACGATGGACTGTCAGGGTCAAGCCTGCGGTCGAGTAGGGAGGCATTTCCCCTCTGCTAGGAGATCCGATTTTTTTTCTCTAAAAACTGCTGTCGTCCTTTATAACCTTTTACTAGTTCACAGCTTTGCTCTCCTGCTTTGTATCAGTGCATCTTTGATTGATAGTCACTTCTTGAGCGCCTCTGAATCGCCCGAACAAATTGAACCTCCCGTTTGCACACAGCGCTCGAAAAAAACAGGACATTTGAGCAAGTATCCAGATTGTGTTAAATCGAACTTGAAGGAGAGCAAGATATCGATTATTCAAATGCTAAAAATCACGTTAATCATTTTCTGGCTTCGATCAATAGACTACGTGGATTATAGGAACACTGCTACTTTTTCTCGAATATCTCCTAAGAGATGGTGTAGTGCCAAGTGGCGCGCTTATCACTCGCGCGGTCCTGGTTCAAAACCCGGGGCGACTTCCGCCCAGGCCAACCAAGCCTTCTACCCTTCCGGGGAACGGTGAACTGGTGCCGCTCGCCCAAAACGATTCGTCTAGCAGGATAAAACGCTGACTTGTGCATTGGCTGTTCCCCGCAAGTCATTAAATAGACCACATCG